TCTGCTCATTCACATCTAGCAAAGTCTTTCGAGGGAGGATTTACAGTCACAGACCTTATCTGGCTTCGAGAGTCACGAAGCAATTAAGCGAACTAATTGTCTCCTGCAAACTCCACTCTCCTTTCACTTCTCTTTTATTTCCTCTGGGAGGGGCCATTCATCGTCCACCTGTGGCCTTACTCCCAGGTCAACTCCTTTTCTTTTGCTGTTCCCTCTGTCTGGCAACTCTGTGCATGTGCACACTGGGAATAGGCTCCAGCTTTTCGTCTGCCTCACTGATGACTTACTCTGAAGGCAGCTGATAACAGGCATACGGCTCTGGCCACCTCTCTGCCTCTGACACAGAGCCATCATCAGAGCCTTCGTTAGACTTGCCCAGGCTCCCCACTGACCACCTCACTATCTGAATCTACTGCCAACTCTGCTGGCTGCTGGCAGGCACAACACACGTGAATTAACACGTGACCCTTTGTTTCAGCTGGGAAAGATTTCCTGTCTGTTCCTTTTACTATCTCAGTGGCCTTCTCATGATGGCCAACTTCCTGTCCGCCTTCTGTGGCTGTTTTCTTCTTCCTGTTGCATCATGTTGATTACCACAAAAACGATGGGTAAAGGCACAACATATTTTGCTACAAAAGGTGTCAAGTATGAAATTCAATGAGTTTTGACGCCGTCGCGTACCGAGGTACCACTGCATTTTGACACATGGCTCCTTCAGAAGTGGGCTGCACATACGTTAAAAAGCAGTTCTCCTGAAATGTGAGCGTGTGCGTCTCAACTGGTTTGCCTTCCTCACTTTCACTTCAAACACACAGCAAATCTTTCCAGGCAGCCACGGTGAGTAGCGCAGGCGAGGCACGGCAATCAGCTGGGCTTTGTGGGTGGGGAACAAAGCCACCAGCCGGTGGTCAGAATTTCCAGTTTACTCAAACCAATCCGATTAGGCAGCAGCTCACCTGTGGACTCTTTGCTAGGAACAATCATTGTTACCAAATGAGCTTTTGCAGGGAGAAAACAATTTTTGTAGTGTAAGACACTTGTATCCATTTCAAAAAGAAGTTCCTCAGATTGCACATTTGCTCCATCAGAGGAGGAGGTACAATCACATCTAGATTGTCATCAGTGTCCTTAAATTACTATGACTTGACTGCGTTGTTTTTGACTTATCAAAACGTGATAAGATTTGGCTCATTTTTTGCCTTCATCTAGTTTCTCTTAACTTGCATGATATGGAGAAACACTATGAGAAGTCCATCAACTACCTGATAGCATCTCACCCAATATCGCTTAAACTTTGCATGATCGACAATATATCATAAATGTATCAATGTCGTAATCTAATAGTAAATGGGACAAAGTGGGGTGGGAATAAGTATTAATAGTCCAATGTTGCCAATTTTTTTTTGCCTTTTCTGTTAGATGATATTGAGGTGCGTTTTTATGAAGATGATGAGAATGGTTGGCAGGCCTTTGGAGATTTCTCCCCCACGGATGTGCATAAACAGGTATTGATTGATTCAATCATGAGAGCCGGTTTGAGTGGTAGACTAAAGACATATTCTGTAGAGTGACTTTTTGTATTGCAGTCGATCAAAGACATTTTATTTTATCACATTCTAATCCTTATAAAGGTAAGACATGGTGGCTCAGTGGCTAAAGCGCTGAGCTTGTCAATCAAAAAAGTCAGCAGTTCGTAGGTTCGAATCCCTAGCACCGTGTACCGGAGTGAGCTCCCGTTACTTGTCCCAGCTTCTGCCAACCTAGCAGTTCGAAAGCATCCAAGTAGAAAAATAGAAACCACCTTTGATGGGAAGGAACAGCGTTCTGTGCACCTTCGGCATTTAGTCATGCCGGCCACATGACCACGGAGACGTCTTCGGAGAGCGCTGGCTCTTTGGATTTGAAACGGAGATGAGCACCACGCCCTAGAGTAGGGAACGACTAGCACATATGTGCGAGGGAAACCTTTACCTTTAACTTAATCCTTATAAATATAAAGGCCAACATCCAATGGGGGAAGCAAAGGATTTTAGAAATGAACCACTGACTTTAAAACTCGTGTTGTCAATGGAGCTTTGGCTTTCTAGATCATAGCCTGTATTACCTACCTGAAGGCAAGGAATGGAGTGAACCTCACAAGAACTGGAAAGAATATATTCGGAAAACAACTGGCTCATCTTATCAAAAGGGCTTTAAATTAAAAGGTGGGGAGAGGGACCAATCTTCACGACCTTTAGAACCTAATTCCAAGCAAAAACCACTAGATAACCAATCACATAAGGAGTAAAGAGAAAAAAGTAATAATAATTTTT